GTGCTCTCTAATCTCACCTTGCAAGTCTTCCCTTTTGTATCCTTGTGCTCTTGGACGTGTGACGCTGCCCTTTTTCTTTGCTGAAAAATGTCACTCACCTAAAGCAAATGAGAGAGGGAGATGTTTACTGAGAATCAGGGCTCTGGGCAGGACAGAAGGAAGCTTTACTCTGCAATCCCACACCTCAGTTCTGTCCCAGCCATTCTTGCAACCCAGGATCTCTCACAGACATCACCTCCTGATGAACTCCTGTCCCCTTACCTTCTGCTCTCCTCTCCCACAGCTTCTCCCTGTCTCAGCACCTCCATGAGGCTATGCTTGGAGGCTTAAATATTTCTGAACCAATTAGCTTTTGTGACTAAAAAAACTATCACCAACAGCTGCATATTGAGCTTGTGATTCTGCAACTGGGACTAGATCACTGGGTGCCTGCATACAGCTGCTGTTACCTGCAGGTTGGCTCAGTGTCTTAGCCAGGCTCTCTTGTGTTCGGGGCCTCAGCTGAGACCACAGGCTGACTTGAACCTGCTCCATGTGGTCCCTCAGCTTCCAGAAGGCTGGTCCAGGCTTGTGGAAGTGGCACTGGGTTTTTAAGAGAATGCCAGAGGCACACAAGAATTTTTGAAGCTTCTGGACAGCAGGTACATTATGGTTTCTGTGGCATTCAGTTGGTCAGAGCCAGTCACAAGATCCCCGCCCCCCACGTGATGGGGAAAACTACAAAGTCACACTGCAAGGAGGAGTGCATCTGGTGAGGTTGTGGAGGGGGACAAATCCTAGGGCTTTCTTTCCACAACCAAAATAGTCTTTAATTTGTTTTTACTAAATATACATTTTTCTCCCCTCAGAAGAAATTTGCAGCCACCTCTTACACTTCTGGGTTTTTCTTCCCAAGAGCACAGGGAAATCATGTCAGTGTGTGAATATGTGTTGGAGAGAGAGGGTTGTAAAAAATAAAAGTAATAGGTTTTGCTTCTGGTATTATGGTGACAACTTAATATTTTATCTTCAAAATGTGTTATTATAGTGTCTCTAAGAAAAGCAAACAGTATGAACAAAAAATAAATATAAACAAAATAAATGCTCCTGCTTTATTTTAATATTTCTATCCCAAACTACATGAGGACATGTATCCTAACACCCTAACGTGGTGATGATGAGACAGATTTCTAACTACCCTGATATTTGCAGGAGAAAATGAGTCAACCACAGACTGTGAAATAGATTTTAAAGTACACTGGAGATAATTGCTTGTTACAAAATGCATAAGGCAAAGATCCTTTCTAACTCCATTTTCCATAACGACGAAATTAATAAGGAACTAAAAAAGGATTGAAACTTCTGTGAAAGTAATAATAATTTTCTTTCAAAAAAAAGCCTAGCATTCCTTTCCTAAGGAGAAGAAAAGAAACTGATGAGGAAAAAAATAATCAGTTCTGGGAAAGCAAATTTCAACAAGTTTAGGACACAGGCATAAATAAATAAATAAATACGTACATAATAAAAAAACCTAATTGGAAGAAAGGAGTTCTGAACAGTTGGATGCTCTTTAAACAAACAGTTTTGGCAGGTGAATAAACTATATGGACAGTGCAGGATTGGGAACAAGGTGCCAAGTTGGCGAAGCAGAACGGTGCAAAGTTCTGGAAGGCAAATTAGAGAACCGTGAAGAGATGTCCAGCCAGATCACCAAGGATGAACAAAAAGAGGGGACTCAGAAGAGCAGGGACCACATCAAAAGTGAGAGAGATGATGTAGTGTGGGGTAGACATGAAAGACATCAGGAAGCTGTTAATCAGTTGCATTAATAAAACCCAAGTTGTTCCTGATAGGGTTGCCATTTGGTTACATAAGCAGTCCTGGATTTCACATGCAGTGTTTTGCTTCAGGCCTGCTGGCCAAATGTATAATCAGCATCAACAAAAATGCCTTCAATTGCAAATAACAGAAACCCTAACTCAAAATGACTTTTAGGATAATTGGGATTTATCAGTTCATGTAAATTAAAAACGTAAAGAAAGAGTGATCTTTAGGTGAAGCTTGATCAGGGTTTAATTTTATTTTTCTGAAATCTTGGCTGTGCCATCCTTTGAACATTGGCTTCATTCTCAGCTGGCTTCCCTCGTGGTTGCAAAGTGGCTGCAGCAACTCTAAATTTCATTACAAATTGAGAAGAGTTGGTAGGAGTTTCTCTTCAGCCAATCACAGTGCAAACTGGGTTTGATTGAAGTGACTCAGGGCTTTAATTTGTTTTTACTAAATATACATTTTTCGCCCTTCAGAAGAAATTTGCAGCCACCACATAGATTGCCTTAGGCCTAGGTATATGCATCCCTGAAAAACCAAGCACTGGTAAGGGGATGAATTTATGCAGATTTATATGGGTCCTGTAGAGACTGGAGCATGAGAGTTCCATGTTGCCCAACCACATGGCTGATATTCAATGAGGTAAGTGTGCAGTGGACGGAGCCAATAAAAATCCCTGCCTCAGGTAGTCTGGGCTGTGGGGAAGTAAGAGAAACAGACTCTCCTTTATCGGTCTCTTCTGGTTTGGGTGAAGAAATCGGCAAAGAATCAGAAAGAAGGTTATCATGTAGAAACCATGACAGGTTAGAAAGCATTCTCAGCGAGTGAAAGTTAGTCTGGACCTATTCCACTTCTGCCTCTAAGAAAAGCAACAGTACTATGTATTAAAAGTATGACTAGCTATGTAGTCATCTGCTTTCTAGCCATGTTGGTTACTAAATGTGTAGGGATGTGAGTATCCACCTCTCATATTGAATCTTTGAAAGGGTAAAACATTCTTGTGCTTAAAGCTCACTTCAAATTAAAGCTGAAGTCATTTCAAAGTAAATCAAGTTCTTCCATATATGTAAGTATTGTCTGAGTGAAGTCTATTTTAATTTCAATGAAATTTAATTGGCAAGAATAAATGTGCAGGATGCATTTTTACACTCTTAAATTAACAAAAGTGATTTTTGGTCTGTATAGGATAATTTCCATTTTTTTACCCTTTTTATCCTTGACGTCTTCGAAATTTCTAGAAAATCATTTTTTATTTCTTGGAGGAAATGTCCATCATGAGTCTCAAAACCTCATCTGCAAAATAAAAATAATTATACCTACTCATAAGGTATAATGAAGATTAAAGAAATTAATATATGAAAGGTAAGTACAATAGTGTCTGGGATATCTAATATATAATTATTATGTTGTATGTGTAATATGCAAGATCATTATAATATATAATAATTCATGATTACCTTACTTTACCCATATTCACTCAGGCTAGATCCAGGAGGTCGGCATTTATTATCCTATTTTACAGAGAGATAATAAATAAGGTTTCAGTTTCTAAGGTAGTAAAGTGGTATAACTTTTTCTTGGTAAGTTACCGAGTAAGATTCACCCTTAGAAATAACTTGAGACTTGCTCATTTTTTTTTACACTTGTCTTCTGATTACGACTCTATTTATTCAGTTAAAACTCAGTAAATGCATGAGAGACTATCTCTGTTATTCGTTCATGGTCAAAACTACTTTATTGGTGGTTTTTTGTTTTTGTTTTTGTTTTTGAGTTGGAGTCTCACTCTGTCGCCCAGACTGGAGCGCAGTGGCCGCTCCCGGCCACCGCAGCCTCGACCTGCTGGGCTCCGGCGATCCTTCCGCCTCAGCCTTCCAAGTAGCTGGAATTAAAGGCGCACGCTACCATGCCCGGCTGATTTTTGATTTATTGTAGAGATGAGGTCTCGCCAAGTATCTTCCGATCTTTTCCTTTTGATAGTTTTAATTTACAGATTATATAATTTTAGTTAGCTTAAATATCTAGACTGACAATTAGACTTAACTATCTGGCACATAGTAATATTTTTGAAAGAATGAATGAATAAAGCATAACTGATTTATAAAGGGAAAAAAGGCTTACAGGAAAGATAGAAACTTGAATTTTCTTACCACCACTCAGGCCAATGATATGACTAAAGGAATATAAAAATTAGAGAAAGCCTGAACTAGCAGTGAAAACTAGGAAAAGGTGGCATCAACATGTCAGAAACATAACAGAATTTTTGCTAAGTATAATAGGAATAAAAATGGACTAAAGAAAGCCACAAATGGCCAGCTGTAAATATAGTTGTACAATGTACTTTTATCATCTAGCAGTATGACTTGAATATTTTTCCAGGTGAATATCAATATTACTACTTCAGTTGCTCATAAGTATTTCATTATTTGTATGCCTAATGTTTATTTAATTCCTGCTAACATTTAGACTGCATCGATTTTCACTTTTACAAAAATGCCATTGAACATCAAAATTCTTATTTATTTATGTCAGGGTCTCACTCTGTCACCTAGACTGGAGTGTCATGTTATGATCACAGCTCATTGCAGTCTCAAACTCCTGGGCTCAAGCAATCGTCCCTCATCAGCCCTCCAGCTAGCTGGTAGCACAGGCACATGCCATCATGTCTGGCTAATTTTTTAATTATTTTTTTGTAGAGATGAAGTCTCACTATGTTGCCCAAGCTGGTCTCAAACTCCTAGTCTCAATTAATCTTTCTGCCTTCGTTTTAAAGCGCTGGGATTACAGGCGTGAACCACCATGCCTAGGCATCTTTCTTATTTTTAAAGGAAACTGCTTGCAGAATGAAGATTATAATTTTCAAAAATTATAGGAAAAAAAGACAAATAAAACTAAATATGTATAACAAAGAATTGGAAGCGAAAGATACTGCAAAGCAGTTGAAAATAACACCATACAATGACAAAAGAGCAAATATATTATTCAATGAATAAATGCACCTTTTAAGAAGGTAAGAAAGCCCTCTGGACTGGGGTCCAAAGCAACTCAACTTTCTTCAGTTTATATAAGGTATTAAAAGAAAAATTACACATAAATAAAAAGGGCATGCAAAAATAAATTGGGTAATGGTTGCATAAATGATCTGAGTTCTTTTCTTCTCTCTACTCTGACATCCTCTGTGTTGATTTCATTTTTAGGCTTGTAGCAAGATGGGTGCAGCACTTTCAAGTGCATCGCAGAAACAGCAATATCCAGGTGGAGATCCAAGACCATGGCTCCTGCTCAGAAAGTAGAAACTTTTTTAGACGCTCCTTTATTACTAGCATGCTTCCTTTTGACCAGCATTGGACGTCACGCCCAATAAGAATTAAACTGAAAAACTTAATGGACTCACCGGTGAACCAATCAAATTTTCGCCTGAGACACGTAACTATATAGGAAAGCAGGGGCTACCTAAATAAAACAGGCCCTGAGGGATAAATAGATTCTGGTTGGGCAAACTGTGATGATCACAACACCAGATGTGTTGATCAAAGGAGAGCTGATACATGCTAAGCAGACTTAAAGACAAAAAATCATTATCAATATGGATCAAGAGTTGTTTGCTTTAATGATAATTCACTAGGAAGACATAATTATTCTGAATCTGTTTTGGCCTAAAAGTGTAGCCTCACAATTACTGAAGCAAAAAATAAACAGAAATACAAGAGAATATAGGCAATCTATAATTTTAGATCATAGTGTCAGGTTTTTAACATGCCTTTCTCAAAGTCACTGAGCAGAACAAAATTTGGTAAGCTTGAAAAAACAGTGATAATAGTTACGTATATCTCTATATAGATATATTGATATCTATAGATATACATTGATATCTATATATCTATTATCACTATAAAATAGTGCTTAATATGTGTTTTTAAGAATCACTATAGTGATAATAGATATGTTAAGATAATAATTCTTAAAAACATAATTAAGGTTGACATAATAGATATATATGTGTATATATACCATGTATGTATACAGTCTTAAAAACAAAAATAGTAAATACTTATTTTCAAGCATAGATTGAGCATCTATAAAAATTATTCATATACTTAACTGCAAAGCATAATTCAACAAAAAGTAAAACAATAAAATTATAAATGCTATCAATAGCTCAAAATAGCCAAGAAACCAATAGATTTGGAGATTTTTAAACCTACTTCTAAATAATTCATGGGCCAAAAAATAAATAATGAAAACTGATTGACAATATAAATCCTACATATTAAAAACTCATGCAGGATTATTTTCAGGGAAAATTCTTCCTGAGAAAACTGGGGCTAGTCTTTTTTTAACAGCATATTTCCATCTAAAATGTTGACACTGACTGAAAAATTTAGGAAAACATTTTGTTTCTTCTATGTACATTGGGAAGACTGCCCTTTGTTCTTTCTTCCTCTGAATGTTTTCATGAGGTCTCAGTTAGAGTTCATATGCCATTCATTTTCTCTTTATTAAGCATTTTTGTGGCATTCTTATACAAATAGCCAGACCAGTAATGGTCAGCCTCTCTGTGCTACCATCCCACAAAAGAACGTTTTTCTCATGCTAGTCAGGTGGCTAGCAGAAGAGTCTCCTTCTCCCCTCTCTGACCACTCCATGAAGACATCTAAATAGCCCCAAACATAGCCACCCTGGCCATGTCATTGTGAACTTCATCACTAGCTCACAACTCTGCACATTAGTAACCTTCTATTGCTAGTACACCCTCATATGTGAATTTCACAATCCATGAAAAGAAGCAACATTAATTCAAAGTCATGCAAAATGTCCCTTCTAGCAGTAATTCGAAAGAATCACATGCTCAATCTGATTAGAAGGAAGATATTTTAGTGTCTGCTCTGTGTAGAGAGGATTTGCAGAGAGACTTTCAACTTGACTTGTCTGATAAGGATGATGATGATAAACCCAAATAAGAAAGATAAATGGAATGATTTCAGCTTCCAGTATATTATACAAATAATACATTTTTTAAAAATTTTAAGCTGATTTGTTCTCATGGGCATTTAAAATATGCACAAATATTTTTACAGATCATTTGTTATGGTAAAGAATGATTTTGCACATGGTTACATGAAGGAAAACCCATTTTAGTTTCCTTTGACTTCATTTTAGGATCACAATGTTGGCACTCTTAGCCAAACAAAGGATAGACTTCCTTAAGCATGTTTCATGATAATAGCTTTCCTTTTATTTTGGTTGGCTAGATGTATATTGCCTCTCCAAGACCTCAATTATATAACCTGGGATTTCCACATTGTTTTTGACAGAAAAGTAGAACAAAAATAAGTTATGCAGACAAAATTTGAAACATATGATATGGAATTGAAAGGACTTAGTGATGAAAAAGTTGTCTGACTTAGTGGTAATCAAATCTTGAAATAGATTTCTTCTTAAACAAGCAAACAGTTCAAAGTATTTGGCTAGGTATCACTGTTTTTTCAAACCTACAAAGATTATATTGCTCCATTTCTCAACTATAGTATATTTACAGCTGGACTTTGAAACTGATGCAGCAAACATCAAACTCTTATTCCAGGCTTGAATTACACTCTCCATTAAGTAGTCTTTGCAAGGCTCTGGCTTCACAATTACAGACAGCAAGCAAGTCTGTAGGACTGAAAAAAAATAACAAGGATTTGAAAACCATGGACTATTGCAACAGATGTTCCTCTTTTGTCATTTCAATTGGATTAAGCTGCTTTAATATTCTAATGCTATAGAGTGAGATTATAGCAAATTCTTATTTTCTATTATTCAGTACCTACGGGCTCTCAGTCTGTTTTTTTGGGTCATAGACCCTTATGTGTATCTGATGAAAACTGTGTCTCTAAACATTTTAACATTTGCAATCTTTTCATCAAAAGTCTGCACTCATTTCAAAACTGGATAATAAAAGTATTAGATCAGTTTTATGTCCAAAAGATTTTATTCTTTCTTCTTTGTTATACTAAATAAGAAAATTCTAACTCACAGTTATAAATCATCAGAGCTGGAAGAAAATATTTTATGGCTCTGACAAATGGCTCTGGATATCTGCATCAAAACTGTGAAGAAATGGCTAGCTTCAGACTACTGTATACTCAAAAGCTGGACTATTGTATGCTTTGAGTTGGGAGCTCGGGGTAAATGATTTCCATTCTTTGGTTGCATTTGCGTCTGGAGAACATTGTATAGTTCCCGTTCCAGCATATGTATGTGGTTTCTTAATATGCTCAATGTCATGTTAGTATTATTTTTTCTCTAAAGAAGGAAGAAAATTGAACATGTGGTGTTTAAAAAGAGTCATATACACAATGATAGAGCTGTTTCCACCCACTTTGATTTTCTTAAGAAATTCTCTTCTCTCCAACACTAAAAATTAAGTTTTGGTTTTTTTTTTTTTGGCTCGAATGTACTAGAATCAGGCTATTAACAAAACCAAATATACTGCCAATGCAGACTCCTTTAGCAAGCCACTTGAAATCTTGGACATGTTCTTTACTGGCACTTTTTTAGTGAAACTAAAATATATGATGTAACATTTTTTTATTGAAGTTGAGGTCTTTTCCCTCACAACAAGTGCTAGACCTGAGTATTCTACATATTGTTCATTTGTTCACTGAGCACACAGAATACAACTTAGGACCACTGACTATGGTTTGATTGTATTTCCATTTTCCAGTATGATCACAATATTCAATCAAGAGTAGAAAGTATATTAACAGCTACTTATCAATCAGGACATAGATCCTGCTGAAGGCCAAACCAAAATACAGAGTCTGAAATGAGAGAAGCTTATTTTCTCCATCTACAAACTTCCAAGCTGATGCCAAGGCTCTGCCCCAAAAAACCTTGGGTTTCCCTGTTCTTTCTCTCCTGGTCTAGTCCCATTCTTGAGTGCTCCCTTTGCATATTCCATGACAGCTAATGAGATCCCTGATCCCATGCCAAGGAGGAAAAGAGAAGAGGAGTGTACAAACCTTAAAACTTGTGCATCTCACTTTTGTGTATTCTCCACCCAATAGGGCACATTCATATAATCATATTTAGCTACAAGACAGACTGGAAAATGTCGCTTTTATTCTGAGTGGTTATGTGCCCAGCTAAAATCATCTAATATGATAAAAGAAAAAAATGACTATTGAGTGCAATTAGTAGGCTCTGTCAGAGCTACCAACTATTCCTGTGAAATTAAGCACTATGGGTCTTACCTTCAGTTGTAACATTTTATTCCCAAGTAACACCTATCTTGTATTCAGAGCTTGTTTTCCATCAGAGCTGCTTCTAACTCCACTCTTCTCCTGGCCTTTATCATGAATCACAACTGTTAACTAAATAGGAAAAAACATTTGTCTCTGGTAAGGTTTTTAGTGATAGGTGGAACTTAAAAAAGATCAAAATTATAGAGTACTTTCTCCTAATACTTTCACAGCACACGTTCCTTGAACAGATTAATATTAAGCATATAAGTAATATATAGCAATTGTAAAGAAAAATATCTGCTAGCATGTATGTATGCTTAGAGTTTTCTTTAGGTTCAGCCAAATGGAACTTGTCAGCTCTCATAGGAGGGACTTCCAAGGAGTGTGGTTGGCTTCTGGCACCAGTTGTCTAGAGTACATACACATTTGGGAGCACACTTAGAGTACTATACGCATCAGAGTTATTGCTTTTGTATTGCAAACAACAAAAATTGCTTCTGGCTAGCTCAGAAGAAAAAAGAAGGACATTTATCGCATACATGGTTGCTCATAGAAAAGAAAACAAAAGGACCAAGTCTCAGAAAAGACAGAAACCGTGGCAAGTAGCCTTAGGGATCTAACAGAAAGACCCTTCAGGACAGTCATGCCAGCATGAATTGGCCTTTTCCATGCTCTGTCCTCCACACTGTGCTCTGAAGTCAGACTCCTGGGAGAAGACTCAAAAGGTGGGTGTTGTAGGCTAAACTGTGTCCTCCCCAAATTCATATGTTAAGAGTCCTAGTGCCCCGTACCTCAGAATGTGAGTATATTTGGGAAAGAGGGTCTTTAAATAGGTAATTAAGTTAAAATGAGCTCATTAGGATGGTCCCTTGTCCAACATAACTGTCCTTCTAAGACAAGGAGATTTGGACACAGACACACACCTCAGGAGAGTGCCACGTGGACGTGAAGACTATCATCTGCGCGCTGAGGAGTGAGGCCTCTGAAGAAACCAACCCTGCCAGCACCTTGGTCTCAGACTTCCAGACTCCAGAACTGTGAAAAACACATTTCTGTTGTTGAAGCCACTTAGTCTGTGGTACTTTGCCACAGCAGCCCTAGTAAATGAATAGACTTGGCTTACTTTTTTCTTAAGACTGCATGCAGTGAAGCAGTGGTAGTCTGCCAAAGGAAACCGGAAAGAAGAACGAGAAAGGATGTCCAAAATAGAAAACATGGTACATATCTCTGAACAGTTGAAGACTCTTCA